GAAATAATGTAAAATTTTATCACCATTAAAATAGCTCGAAGTCAAACACTTCAGAAACAAGGAAGTCCACGGATAACGAACTTCAGATTCACACCAGAAACTTTTCAAGTCGAGATGCTTTATATTGCTAACTGTCTTCCTCTTCATAACATTTACTAGTACTGTTCTACAAAGTTAACAGACATCTATCTACATTCTCTCTCTCTTCTCTTTCTTCTGAAGGACTAAAGGAGAGCAACAGGGGAAGATAAATAAGTCAGCGCCTCGAGAAAGCAACTAAGATCAACATAGACATTGAGACGATGACCTTGAAACCTGAGCTTTCCCAGAAGTTCTGCTTGCCATTAGAACCACCACCATTTTGTTGCTTCATTGCCACTTGGTCTCTGAGTTCTTTCAGGGCTTTGTCCCTTCTCTCTCCAGCCTATGTAAAATAAAGATGGGCGAAAAATACATCATTATAATGAAGTTGCTGTAAGTTATAGATGAGTGTCATTTGTTTAGCAAGCACAAATGCAAGATTCAAGTGATCTAGGAGAAGTTGGTTTTGTGTAAATGTAGTGAAAAGAAAGAGAGGTTGTAAATGTTAAGTAGATTACCTTCTCTAATTCACCGAGGCTGTGTTTGGCAAATCCAAAGAACCAGCTTCAGTTAATACAAGTTCGGTCCAAAATCCAATTTTTTGTTTTGCATGACTTGGGCCAGATTTGCACCATTTTTTCAGTTCAAAATTTTAGCTTTAAACTACGTTTCTTTTTAACGTCTACATGGACCAACTTTCGTCTGGTAAGGCAAAACCAGTCCTGACACAGTCTTATGGCGGAGTGACCAACAGAGTTGAGGATGCAGCTTTTATCTTTTTGTTTTCAGATTAGCTTTAAATTAGTGGCAGTGGAAGCTGTAATACCTTATAAAGTCCATGCGACTGCATCAAAACTATGAGAGGTAGTTGTGGTTGAGGATTGGAAATTCTAATTTTCTGCTATAACGTATCCTATTATGCAATGTCTTCACCAACCAGGATTCCTAAGGGATATTTTAGGGTTCTAAAAAATCATGACTAGTCCAAGAAAAATTGAAAGACTAAAATTTACACCTCAAGCTTCCAATGCCAAACATGAGCTCCCATAGATAGTTCGAGAAACAGGGGAAGTGAATTACCCTTTGAACCTTTCGTATTTGGGATCGTGCCTCTTGCAGACAAAACTCTAGCTTCAGCACCTTCTTTTTGAGTTCCTGGTCAGCCCTCCGATGCTTTTCTAGCTGTCTCACAAATGACAAATTAGGAAATATAAGAGAAAAAACCTAGGAGACTAAATATGTAGCAGTGTTAGTCAAGAATTCAAGAATTACCTGTGATTCAAGTTCTTTGGTTTTATGTTTCCAATGGGAAGACAAAAATCTAATCTCATCTCTCAACCGAGCAATCTCACCATCCTTGGCATCCAAAAGTTTATTCATCTTCTCAAAATTTTTTGGAGAAACTTCATCCAAAATCTTTCTGAGCTCAGAGTCTTTGTTGACTCCAGCTTTTGTGACAGCTTGCATAATCTCCTTCTCTACTCGCAACACTTCATCTTTTAGTTGTTGTTGTGAAAGCTCTCTTGCTTGGAGATCCTTCTGCAAATAATCTAACTGCTCTCCCAGCTTATTTACTCGGATCTCATTCTCTTTTATCGAATTATTTTTCTCATCCAATTCTCTCAACAAGGAGAGACACTGAGACTGGGCTGATTGAGCTGATGCAGCACTAGCCTCAGCAGTAGCTTGAGTAAATGAGAGCTGTGATCTCAAGTCATCCAACTCCTTGAGGTACTGCATATTAGGATAATAGTTATGAGTATTTACTGAGAACTGTATCATAAGCAAACAGAAAAATCTATGAGAAAGGTCCTATAAACTTTTCAGAGTAATAACTACAGGCTGATGCTCAATCAAATCATTGCGTTACATTTAATGATCCTAAGAAATGAAGTTCTGTGTCAATAGAACCTTATTAAGGAAAAGAGGTGCCTGAGAGATGAGAACAATTTAAGAAGGCATTGAAACAGGAGTATATCCTAAAACAACAAACCTAACATAAAAGTCCTATATAAACTATCTAGAGTGAGAACAGTAGGCTGATGCAGAAGAAGTTAGTGTATTACATTTGATGATCCAAACAAATGAAGAAAAGACCTTGAGAGAGAAGAAAAATTGAACAAGGTATCAACAAGTAAATAACGCATACTACATACTCCAAAGCTTAAAGTGTGGCCTCTGCTAAATGCCTATAGCATTCTTTTCTGAAGAAAAGCAAATGCATGTTTAGGTTACAAAAATGTTCTTAACTACATTTAAACTGTTGGTCCATTATTGCACTGAATGACACAAATAGTATTTTCAAATATCAAGATTTCATCTGTGCCTTTTCAGATAGCCCAGAAATCCAAATATTGTGATACCCCTAATAATTGAAAGGATTTTTAAATTGCTGGTCAAAAACTGAAAAAGAGCCATATTCTCCCAACGAAAGAATAAGGAGGATCTTTTTTTCAATCATTATAAGCTTGTCATGTTTACATGTTGCTTCCAAGTCTCCTACAAACATTCCAGGTTATGATCAATTTTCCTATTCAAGTCACCTACAAACATTTCAGGTTACGATCAATTTTCCTATTCAGAGAACAGCGATTTCTAATGAAGCATTCTTACCGAACTTAGACAAGCTACTAAATCACTAATGATTAAAGATTCTGCCTCTTACTTATGGATGAGCTTTGGGTAGAAAGATTGTTCAAGATAAGAGAAAAGAAAACAAGAAAGAATATATGTTTTGGGAAAATAGATTTTTCTCATGAAAGGTTAACGGGAAAGAAACTCGTGGGTCTACTTTAGATCAATAGTAGCATTGGTTAAGACAACATTTACTTTATTGTGTTGCATTTAAAACTTTAAAGGAGCTTTTAGAGAGGTCGGTATGAGGTAGACAACAAACAGAAGTTTAAATGCAATTATGGGAGAAATGCATACGTTGTTTGAACTTGTTTAAGCTTGTATTCATAGTGGACTTTCAGGTAAATGAGTTAGAAGTCTGTTGTGATAAAGATGACATTATCTGTTTCTAAAGTCCAGAAACTTTTCCCATCTCCAAGGAATTGACGTTTCTGTTACCGTAATAAGCCTTCTTGCAAATAGAATGCTCTGAGTATACTATTAGGGAGTTACACCTCAATATGCAACAGTATTTCATAGCAGGCCTTAGACTATCCATGAATACAATTGTATCACTAGCATGTAATTACTGCAGGTTGTACCAATTATGGTTTATCTACTATCTTACTTCAAAACTTTCCTGTGGGTCTTTTTTATATTCTAAAGCTTACTGCTTTTGCCTGCTTTCTTTGCTTAAAATACTTCAAGCAGCTCAGCTGTTTCATTAAAAGGAAAAGACGAGGAATTGAAGCATGCAAGATAACCATTGACATGTATATACTTCTTTGACTGTATAGCCTTTTTACCTTCTTATTTTCCCCTTTTAGGGGTGAAGATTTTGTGATTAGTCAGGAATTGAGATAAATATTACTTGAAATCCAAGAATAGTAGGATCGGACCTATTGCTAACAAGTAGGCAACTGAAAACAGAAAAACCCATCTGAAAGTTTAGATGAATGGACAAATCAGGAAAATTTACAATTGGAATCAGAATCTAAGCCAACAACTTCCTAACCATGTCATAGAAAGAGAAATAAAGTAATACCCAGAGCCGACAAAAGGTGAGAATCCATAATCAAACTGAATTGTTCATTGCTAGTGTTCCTCCCTAGATACCCTTATAGAAAACAATAGACGCAATCATAGTTGAAACCTCAGCAACAACAGAAAGGATGTGGGGTCTAGAATTGCTAATCACGTCAACTAAGATTCAATTCCCATAACAACCTTAAACAAGGTTATGCAACAAAAAGGACCCTTTAAGGAAAGTAGCAACCAGGAAAGATCTAAATCAACAAGATCATAAAGACACTAAGTCAACATCCATCCTCTCAAAATTCAACAGAAAAAGCATGGAAAAATTGCTCACCTCCTCACGACTAGAACTCGATGATTGCAACTGATGATTCCTCTCTTCTAAACACAACTGCAATTTACCAACCTCCTCCTCCATGCTCTTTGCCTTCATCTCGGCTACCTATTGAAAATGCCCAATCAACACCCTAATCAATATTAATACCAAGAATCAAAGAAACCCCGCCAAAAACCAAACCTTTCTGGATTCTGATTCTCGGATAAAGGACTCCTCTTGCGAAGCCAATCGATTTCGCACATCTTTAAGCTCCGCTGCCAAAGAAACAACGTTCTTTCTAAAGCTCAGCTTCTTCTCAGTGAGATCTTTGAGCAACGGATCCAACTCTAATGTCGAAGACGAAGGAGATTCCTTCACTTTAGCCGACATCACAAAAAACCCTAATCCAATAACCAAAAAAATAAATAAATAGAGTCCACAGCCTTATTCCTTAAATGAGAAAACACAGTAGTAATAAATTCACACTGACAGCTCCATTTTCATCCCATTTTTATTTGAAAATAAAAAGACGGTAGCTTTCACAGTAGCAAAACCACAAATTATAGAGAAGCGTATACAAATAGCCAACTGGAACAGGGATTTTAAATTAAAATATTCCAATAAAAATATAAAATAATAATAATTGAGATTTGAAAGCCACATGTTTGAAATTTGAAAGAGAAACTGACGCTTCGCTCAGAAGAGACAGATCATGAGAAGAGCGTTTCAAAACTAACCTCAGATGAATCCAAGCCCACGGTAAGTTAGACCTCAAGAACCGCTACAAACTTATCCTACAGCAGCGGCAGAAAGGTCGACGAGTTTTAGCTTGGATCCCCGTCGATCTCTTGCTTCCTTCAGCAGAAACCAGTAAAAAGATCCGAAATCTCTCCCGAATTTCTCCAAAAACAAGAACAAAAACAAAAACAAAATCTTTCACTCAGCAATCAGAAGCTGAAACCAGAAACCGAAGCTCTATCGCTGAGCTTCATGATTTCGGCCCCGCTAGGGTTTTGAGATCGGAATGGTGGTTGAAATGGTGAGAGGATTTTTGGAAGTTGGGAGGGGAATTATATTTCCTATTTTAGTTTTTTTTTCCTTTTTTTTTTTTTTTTTTAGGCTAAAATAATAATAAATAGAGAGGGGCAGGAGGAGAAATTAATGAAATCACGGGAATCTCTCCGAAGCCCGAGGTTCGGTGTACGAATGGCGTGGGTTTTGTTTGACCTCCGAGCGCGGCAAATCCAAATTTTGGATTCGGCGCATCTGGCTGTACACGTGGACAGTATTGGGCCCTTGGATTTATTTGCGAGGTTTCTGAACTGCTGACGTGGGTTTTCGCAATTTGAACTTCTGATGTGGACTGGAAAGATGTGACGCGGTCTGTTCACGATGGAGCGGGCGTTCATTCGAACATTTTGCCTTGGACTTGTCCTTTCGCTGCACGGTGCCACTGGGCGCTCCTAATATCTTACGAGCATTTTTTGTGCTTGTCACAATCTTGTTTAGTATGCTTGATGATATAGATGTATCTTTTTTTAAGGCTTATTTGATAGTCCAAGCTATATATGTAATCAAATTCTTCTTGTTTGATGGTCCGGGCTATACCCATAATCAAATTCTTCTTGAAGCCATGTAATAGAGTCTTCTGATTTCCTCAAAAAAAAAAATATGAAAGTTGTTGTTACTTGTTAGGGGTGAGCGTTGTTAGGTACAAATTGATTAAATAGATTGAACTGATTGAATATTAGTGTTTCGCTTTTATTTTAGGAAATTTTTGATACGATGGAGACCGTTTTGTTTGAGAGTGTTTGAACCGAAATAACCAAACCAAGCACTATTAACTAATTGTCTAAAAACTTATGCTCTTTTTAGATGCGTATATAGGTTATATGGGTATTTTTATACATCTTGGTCGATAGAGATTCAATTTTTTTAGTTTTGTAAAGTAGTTGATTTCACGAGTTTGGTTTTTCAACTTGGGATAAAGATAAACGAAAGGTCTGAAGAACTATTATTCTAGTCTTTTAGCTAAAAAATCACTCACTTGACATGTCTAGACTCAAACTGACCTTACCAAACAGATTCAATTTGGTTCAGTTTTGAATTTAGTTTATTTTAGTTCAGTTTGCTTTGACAAAAAGTAGTCAAAGCAGCTCAAATTGACTGTTTGCTCACCCCTAGTTTCTGGGCTTCCATGCTAAATGAGAATTTCAAAGAAAAACGGATTGCCGTTGCAAATTAGGATCATGTTGTTTGCATGGGAGTAACTATGAAGCAGCTGAGGAAGTAGATATTACTTGTGCTATTTCTGAACCAAAAAAAAAAAAAACAAAAGCAAAAAAAATGTTTGCTTCTCCAAAAATCCTATTATCAGTACTTTCTTAAACAATGATGCGACAACTGCATGTCAATCTCTATTTCTAAATTCTCTTGCGCCCTCAATGCTTAGAATTTGTTGGAAAGTAGGTGAAATGTGCATGAATTTATAGAAAAAATTCATATTTTTTTTCTTCCTATTGTTTACTTCAAAACAAATTTTCATTCTTATACACTTGAAAAAGTAAATAAAGAGTTCGATCCGCCTTTGTTAATACTATTATTGGCTGTTTCTTAAAAAAAATAAGCAGAGCATAAAAAAAAGGCAATACCAAACCTAAATCTAATAATTCAAATGGTATAACAAGCGATGGCCTTTGTTTAAAAAAAAGCATATATTAGAGTACCTAATTGATGGCTAATGCCGTTTAGTTTATTATTTCCTTCTTAATGATCAACTGGTCTCCTTGCTACATGGCAAAAAATCAGAAGGAGACAGATAAAAGTCATTGCAAACAAAAATAAAAAAGAATACACTAAGTATTATTATAATAATAATAAAAGAGAATGTTGGCGACGAGATATCATTATTAGATAATATATTGAATATGAGCGTAGTTAACATGATCCCGTCACATAATCCACCATCGCATGAATGATGAAGAGCAATGTGTAGCGGCTACAACATAAGAACATCTCTAACTAAAAAATCCAAAATGATATAGTTTTTACATTAAGTTGGTATAGTTTTTACACCAAATTGTTATTCCATCTCCAACCCATTACACCAAATTTTACACCAAAAAGAATATTCATTTTATTATTTTTATTTTTTAACATTTTTATCTATTTAAAATATATAACAAATTATATAATTATATAATTATATAATACATTACATATAATTAATTATAATAATGTGCAAGTTTTTTATGTCCTAATTTAATGTTGTATTTTTATCTAAATGTAAATTTGATTTATATTTTTATTTGGTATTACAAATTTTTAAGTGTTTGAATTAAATTATCTAATTTTTCCTTTTTGAATTTTATTTTAATAATTATTTTATACTATAATTTCATTATAAAAGTTAAAAATAAAAAAATTAAATGGAATAAACCGAGGTTAATGAATGATATAATAGGATACAATATGTATTTTTAATTTGTTATCACATAGTTTAAGGGTAAAATTGGAAAAATAAAAAACTCTAAAGCTACAATGTTGCGTCATTCCTGACGCAACACTGTAGCACCTCATCAAAATAGCGCAGGGTTTAGCGTTCGGTTGGATGGTGAATTGGCATTGGGCTTGCGTAGGGGTATCTAAAAACGGGCAACAACGGTCACCCTGGGGTGACCGTTGTCGGAAAAAACCGGGCCGGGCCGACGCCAACTATCATAATTTGTGACCGTTGGCGGAATTTGGCCGGGCGCTCGGTCCGGCCTGGTCATTTCTGACCGTTTATGCCGGCCAGGTCCAGACCGGCCAAACGGTCATATTTGGCCATTTGACCGATTTGCCCCTTAAAACGGTCAAAAAAATGCTAGAATCTGAGAGTTTTTTGGTCATTTGCCTAGGGGGTTGCCTCTATAAATAGAGGGAGAGTTTCACTTCATTTCCTCACAACAAAACTCATCTACTTCTCTCTAATACTCTCTTATACAACCTTATATTCTCTTATACTATATTATAATCTCTTATATTTTCTAATACTTCCATCAAATGGCTTTTGGATCTGATTATGAAAAGCAAAACCTATCTCCTACCAATCCAGAGATGAGTCCTCCTACAACAACTCCTCCTCCTCCTACCAGTGTTAATCCTGAATCTGGTGGCGACGAATCTACTGTACCAAAAGCTCCTAAAAGGCCGAGATCCGATGTGTGGATTTTTTTTAGAAGATAGACGTCACTAAGGATGAACACGGTAGAATCATCTCCCAGAAAGCAAAATGTGAGTTGCACGACCAGGTTTTCCAAGCTCATCATAAGAGCGGCACCAACCATCTCAAACACCATATAAAAAAACACAACAAAGGCCAGAATCTTCAAGGTGATATCCGATAGTCTATGATTTCTCAATCCTCCTCTTCTGGTACCCTCGGTAGTTAGAATTATAACGCTGCCCGAGCTAGGAAATGCGTAATCAGGTTTATTGTTCTTAAAAAGCTGCCTTTTAAATTAGTAAAAGATGATGAATTTGAAGATTTATTTAGAGATGATTTTTATCCCGTATTTACAAAATTTTCTTGTCAAACCTGTCAACGTGACATTTTAAAATATTATCAGGAGGAACAAGGAAAAATAATTTCTTATTTTAAAATTTTAAACTGTAGATTTTCTTTAACTTCTGATATTTGGACATTGAGAGTGCAAACTTGTTATTTATGTATCACAGCACACTGGATTGATAAAAATTGACAAATATTTAAAAGAGTTGTTTCTTTTATTGTAATTGAGGAGTCACACACTGGTATTAATATTGCAAATTTAATAATTAAAAAACTTATGAAACTAGAAATTGATCAAAGAATATTTTCTCTTTCACTAGATAATACAAGTAATAACAATGTAGCTGTTGATTTTATTAAAATAACTCTGTCATTGCTATGTCATAGTGACCTTTTTCATGTTAGATGTATCTGCCATATTTTAAATTTAATTGTTCAAAGTGTATTTTTTGAAATTAAATCCATGATAGAAAAGGTTAGAACAGTTGCTAATATGCATAATGCTTCTGAAATGAGAATAAAAGATGGAAATAATGTTGTAAAAGAAAAAATTATAAGCCTAGACTAATTCCAAAAGATGTTGATCATAGGTGGAATTCCACATATGCAATGTTAAGTGTAGCAATAGAATATAAAAAAATTATAAATAATTTTATAAATTTTTATGCTTCTAGTTCTAGCTCTGGTAGTACTTATGGAATAAGTGAAGATGAATGGACAATTATATGTAAATTAAATAAGATATTACAAGTTTTTTATGATGCTACTATGTTATTATCTGGTTATTATTATCCAACTATTACTTTAGCTGCTTTACAAATTTTAAATATTCAAAACTTTTTTGCCAAATATTGTATGGACGATATTTTTGGAAATATAATTTTTCAAATGGAGAACAAATTTAATAAGTATTTTAGGCATATTCCTCATATTTTTGGTTTGGGGGTTCTTATTGATTCATGTTTGAAGGATATTGGTCTTCGAAGTTTGTTACAGTCATTGTATGGTGGAAAAATTATAGACTTAGATGATAATTCCACCCTTACTGCTACTTCTCATTATTTATCTATTAGAAATTATTTTCAAACATTATAAATGAGTATGCAGCTAGACATGGTGTAGCTGCACAACAGTCTACAACTTCAGCACATTCGGCTTCGAGCACAGGTCGAGGTAAAAGTGTAAGTTTTGATAGATATGCAATGGTAGCTGAACTAACTAGTGGATTTGGAATTGGTTCAGGATTAGAGGTTTCTGAATTAGATGAATATTTTTCTGCTTTCTTAGTTAAATGTCAAGGAAATACTTTAGATATTTTACAATGGTGGAGAGTATATGGATCGGTTTCATATCCTATACTTTCCACCATGGTTCGTGACTTACTATCAGTGTAGGTTTCGACGGTAGCTTCGGAATTCGCCTTCAGCACAACAGGACGTTTGATCGACGACCACAGGACGTGCTTAGATCTGTATACTGTACAAGCGGTGATTTGCTTATAAGATTGGTGGAAGTACGAGAAGCGAACACAAGACATCGATCGGATTGCTATAATTGAAGATAAATTTGAAGAGTTAGGACTAGCAGATAGATATAAAGATTAGATAATATTCATCAAATTATAATTTTTATTTCTTAGCTTTAAATTTGTAATGAATTATTTTAGAAAAAAATTATAAATGATAGTGATATGTGTGAGTAGGTGCCAACCTAGTTGGGATTTACTCATCTATTGTGATGCGACGAATTTCGAAATAAATTTATACTTGTAAAGGATTTACTGATTATTAATAAAAAAATTATTTTTATCATCTTTTATTTTTATAATTTTTTATACTTGTAATTTATGTCATTTTAAGTTATTAAAAAAATTTATGTCATTTTTTATAATTTTTATGTATATTTTATGATTTATTTTTTTTAAAATTTTAAAAAAGTAAAAAAAAAACCAGGCCGGTCAGGAGCCTGGCCCGCTCAGGCCCGGGTCCGGATCCGGCCCGGGTCTGGGCTTCGGTTTTGCCCAGGCCGGGCCCGGTCCGGATGGATACCCCTAGGCTTGCGTCAACTTGGAAAAATAGCTAATACTATTTTAAAAGTCTAAGGCTCCTTAAGTTTATTATTATTATTCTTATGATAATGCCCAAGATGAGGACCCAACCCATTGGATCGTTGGTCTAACCGGAGTCGAACCCAAGCCCAAACCAAGATTGTTCTTCTATCGGAATACTCAGAATGCACAGCATATCCTCTGGGGTTTCCGAACAATTCAGAGGATAAAATCGAGGGAGTTTTGGAAATTAAGGATGTGTTCAGCAACTTCAAAATTAAACAAGGCTAGACTATTTTTTTTTAACTAGACCAAAATTAAACCATATAAGGTTGGTCCGTAACCGCAAATAAACTAGTTTAGGGACAATATTTTGAATAAAAAAGAACTAGTTCAATTTGAGCTCAACTTTTTGCTAGACTAAAACCAAAGTTTTGGACCAATATTGTACCACTTAAAACATGTTTTGTGAAAGTTATCAAACACACTCATCCTATTGTACAACTCAAATTCAAAACACCAGGCTATACCGCGCTAGCATTCTGATGGATATGTATTCTACTAATTAGAGATCAGCTTGGGTTTGAAAAGAGAGTCCAATCATGATCCTTTATAAAAGCTTGACACTTTTAAAACTTGCACCTTAATAGCTTTTATTAAGCAAATGTGACAATTTTATCCTGAATACAGAGGATAAAAACCCTCTGTAGGATCTCACCCAAAGTGGGAGTGGTGGGGGGCTGAGAGACGCTGACCGTAGAAAAAAATTCAAACGATTCATGACGGTGAACTGAAGTACACTTGAGTCGTAACCTTTCATGGAAAGTACGCTGTAGTCTACTACATATAAAATGAAACACCTTTCATGGAAAGTACGCTGTAGTCTACTACATATAAAATGAAACACGTGCCTTCCAAGTTCAAATTCCATCCACTTCGGATAAATTTCAGCGATTCATGTACATAAAAGAGCTTTGCTACAGGGACCCAAAATATGGGACCAATAAAGGGGACAAGTGAGGTGTCTCCCTCCTATTGGATAATGAGTTAGCCATCATTAATGATGGCCAACTCATTATCCAATAGGAGAGAGACATCTCACATGTCCCCCTATTGGTCCCATATTTTGGGTCCTTAAAGAATTTTTCTTATTTTTACTATGTTACTTTTGCTAAATATCTAGCAAAACCAACCTCTTTTTGGCTAGCTTATCAAAGCTGGCGAAAAGATATCGGTTTTGTTGAATTTGTGTTTTGAAACACGCTGCACTAGTCCCGTCTGTTTAATGGTCATTAATCGGCCACTAAACAAGACTCAGAAAACCCACGGAGCTGCTAGTCTCGTGGGTTTTCTGAATAGTTATCAGAAAACGCACGGGACTACTATAGTCTCGTACGTTAGAGTGAGACTTCGTGTCTCGCAACCAGCAACTCCACGGGGCTAGTAGTCCCATGGATTTGTTGGGCACACCAAAACGTGCACAAAGCATGTGTAGATCGTACTAATTGAATATATACCTCATATATATTGCTAAATATGCTCAAAAAATATAAAATCTGTCTCATATACATTACTAAACAATATAATCGTTATATAAGTTATAAACCTTAGTGGCATACTCTGCATGATTAATTCTAGTAACTCTGCATATTTGCTCCATCATTACATTTAAGTTACAATTTCTAAATAACATGAATATTTTACTAGATCCACCCTCATATATAGGCATATTATTCATTCCAACACTCAGTTTCTCATTGAATAAGTGTTTGCGTCGAGAGTTGTTTTCTCATTGCGAAACTCATTACAACTTCAGTCATTTACAATAAGTTCGAAAAAGTAAAATTAGTCTTTTTATAAGACTTTCTTACACAATAAGAATAAAATAGTCTATTCAAACACACGCAGAGGGCATTTATCATCCGTTGCTTACATGGGATCTTTGGCTGTGCCGGGGTTTATCCGTAGACCACTGTGGATCAGATCCGGTTAATCAGAATAAAAGATCAATGCTCTTGCTTCACATAAGAAATAATTACAGAAGTAAATAATCTCAACAAAGTGAGATTACTATTCTTCTCGAGATCAAAACAAAGTCTGGTCTTAAGGAATGATGAAACGGGCCTCAGATCCTTCGAATAGCTCCCTCTTTATGCTGGAGTTCGCTAAGATCTACTAGCCCTCCTCTGAAATTCGTGGTTCACTCTCCAA